GATGTAAACTGTCTGCCTGTTTTCCTAATTCTGTCAGTCATTTTAGATTGAGAAGACCCATACAAAATAGCTTATACATGCTCACGAATGGCCCACACAAGAATGGGAAGTAGACAACCTACTTTGGAGAACAAGGACAATTTTGCATCTTCTGTGTTCTTCTTGAAGAGGAGAAATTAAATAATCAAGATTTGGGTTTAGAGTTCAGAAGAGTCCCAACTACTTGAAATGCTTTGAAATCTGCTGTTGCCTCAGTGTTTTGGATCCTGTCTTTGCTTTGGAGAAAATTTTTGAATTTTTTCTGTTACTACATATGTTTCTTCATGAAGTTTGTAAAAATCCATTGAAGCAACGATCATTGCCTCTCTTGAGGGTATTGTTGAGAATTGATTATATTTCAAACATAGTGCCCCTAACTTAAGCAGAAATGGATATGGATAGTTCTGTTGTCTGAGATTCTCTCTTTGCCCCTCTTCCTCTTCCTTTCTCTCTCTTGTTCTCTCTCCCTCTCTTCTCTCCTCTCCTCGCTCCTCTCAGCTCTCTCTCTCTTGAGTTCGCTGGACTGATTCTGTGTTTTTATCCTTCCCTGAAGTAAGCGTCCCTGTGGGATCAACCATTTCTTTGGACTACAATATCATCACCGTCAACACTTAAAAATCATTTTATTGTGAAATACAACAAATGTTCACAAAGGTATATAAAACCCACAAACAATGAATGTATATTCTTTAGGTGCATACAAATTTAAGAGTATGATTTTTTCAGATATGAAACCTCTTTATTATTTTTTACAAACTCTTTATATTAGTCAGCATTTTTGAAGCAGAACAAATAGGATCAATAGGATGTGTGTGTGTGTGTGTGTGTCTATTTGTGTGTGTGTGTGTAGAAAGAGAGAGACAGAGAGAGAAAGAGACAGACACAGACATGTTATGAATTGGCTCATATGAATGTGGGGACTGAAAAGTCCAAATTCCACAGGACAGGTAGAATCCTGCTACCTCCAGGACATTAATAGTTTTGTCTTAAGACCTTCAACTGATTGGATGAGGCCAACTCACATTATGGAGAGTAACCTGCTTCATTCAAAGTCTACTGATTTAAATGTTAATTTCATGCAAAAAATACCTTGACAGTGACTTCTAAACTGGTGTTTGACCAAATATCTGGGTATCATGGCCTAGCCAAGAGGACATATAGAATTAACCAACACACCTTCTTTACCTCTAATAATTCTATTCTAAAAGCCTATTTTGTTTTATATGGATACAATATACCAGCTTTCTTTTGATAAGTGTTTGCACAGTATATCTTTTTCCACTCTTTTGATTTCCAAACTCTCCGTGCTCTATATCTCAAATTTGCAATAACTCCTCATATATACCCACTCTCAAGTGTTCATTGGATTCTTATTTCACTGAGAAAATAGAAGCAATAAGAAGAAAATATTTCACAAGCTTCTAAACTTACCACTTATCAGCATCTGTGCTCAAATATTCTGCCTTTTCTCTTATAAGATTGCAATTCCACGAGAGCAAAGAATTTGCCTATCCTTAACACATATAACCATGCCTGGCAAACAGTAGGCCCATAAAAATTGTTGAATTACAAATAAATGATAAAAAATACCACTACCAGTACCAGAACAAAAAATTACCATTAGTTCATTGTGCCTATTTCTTGGCAGACCCCATTCTGGAAACTGAGGATATAGTAGAGAATAGAACAGATAAAAATTTCTATCCTAAAGATCTTATACTTTAGTTGAGGGCTAAGGTCAAACTATTTACTACCATAGACCCCTTTACAAGAATCATCTCTTTTGTTTTTAAATTTTTTTCCACATTTATTGATGAAGAACTGACAAATAAAAATTGTCTATACTTAAAGTGTACAACATGATATTTTGATATACATATACTTTGAGAAGTGATTACCACAATAAAGCTAATTAACATACCCATCACCTCACATAGTTACTTTTTTTAAAATGATGAGAACACTTAAGATCTACTCTCAGAAAATTTCAAGTATACAATACAGCACTACTAACTATAGACACCACGCTGTATGTTAGATCTGCAGAACTTATTCATCCTGCATAACCAAAACTTTGCAGCCTTTGACCAATATCTCCCCATTTTCCCCATCCTCAAGCCACCTTGCAATCACCTTTCTACTCTCTGCTTCTACGAATTCAGCTTTTTTAGATTCCTCATATAAGTGATTTCATGCACTATTTGTCTTTCTGTGTATGGCTTATTTCACTTACCATAATGTCCTTCAGACCCATCCACGTCATCGCAAATGGTAGGATTTCATTTGTTTACGGACATGTAAATTGTTTCCATATATTGGCTATTGTGAATAATGCTTCAATGAACTTGGGAGTGCAGATATCTCTTCGAGATACTGAATTCATTTCTTTCGGATGCATACCCAAAAGTGGGATTATTGGAATGCATGGTAGTACTATTTTTAACTTTTTGAGGAAATTCCATAATGTTTTCATAGTAGCTGCAACAATTTGCATTCCCTCCAATAGTTTATAAGGGTTCCTTTTTCTCCACATCCTCTCCAACACTTGTTATCTTTTGTCATTTTGGTAAAAGCCATACTAATAGGTGTGAGGTAATATCTCATTGTGGTTTTGATTTGCATTTCCCTGATGATTAGTGACATTAGGGCACCTTTTTGTATACCTGCTTCCTATTTGTATGTCTTCTTTGGAGAAATGTCTATTCAGATTCTTTACTCATTTTTAAATTGGGTTATTTGTTTCCTTGCTATTCAGTTGTTTGAGTTCCTTATATATTTTGGATGTTAGCCCCTTATCAGATGCATGGTTTGAAAATATTTTCTGTAATTCAGTAGGTATTCTCATTCAATCAATTGTTTCCTTTGTTAGGCAGAAGCTAGCTTTTTAGTTTGATGCAATCTCGCTTGTTTATTTTTGCTTTTGTTGCCTGTGCCTTTTGGGTGATATCCAAAAATTTATTGTCCAGACTAATGTCAAGAAGCTTTTTCCCTGTGTTTTCTTCTAGTAGTTTCACAGTTTCATGTCTTATGCGTGTATTTAATCCATTTTGACTTGATTTTAGTATAAGGTGTGAGGTAAGATTCCAATTTCATTCTTATGTATGTACATATCCAGTTTTCCTAGCACCATTTATTGAAGAGATTATCTTTTCCTCATTGGAAATAAGGGCTATTCTTTCTCCATTGTATCAAAGATCAGTTGACTACAAATGCATGGATTTCTTTCTGCACTCTCTATTCCATTCCATTGGTCTATGTGTCTATTTTTATGCCGTTACCAGACTATTTTAATTACTATAGCTTTGTAGTATATTCTGAAATCGCGAAATATGTCGCCTACAACTTTGTTCTTCTTGCTGAAGGTTGCTTTGGCTATTTGTGGTCTTTTGTGGTTCCATAAAAATTTTAGTATTTTTTTCTGTTTTTTTTTTTTTTTCCATTGGGATTTTTATAAGGATTGCATTGAATCTGTAGATTGCATTGGGAAGTAGGAAAATTTTAACAACATTAATTATTCCAATCCAAGAACACAGGATATTTTTCCATTTGTTTGTGTCTTCTTTAATTTCTTTCATCAATGTTTTATAGTTTTCAGCATGGAGATCTTTCACCTTCTTGGTTAAATTTATCCTAAGTATTTTATTATTTTTGCTTTAAATGAAATTGTTTGCTTAATTTCCTTTTCTGATAGTTCATTGTTAGTGTATATAAAAATGCAACTCATTTCTGTATGTTGATTCTTCATCCTGCAAATTTACTGAATTCATTCATTAGTTCAAACAGATTTTTGGTGGAGTCTTTAGGGTTTTCTCTATATAAGATTATGTCATCTTCAGATAGATACAATTTTACTCTTCATTTCCTATTTGGATGTCATTTGTTTTTCTTGTCTAATGGCTCTGGCTAAGATTTCTAGTACTATGTTGAATATAAGTGATAAGAAGGGGTATCCTTATCTTGTTCCTGATCTTAGAAGAAAAGCTTTCAACTTTTCACCATTCATTGTGATATCTGTGGGCTTGTCATATATGGCCTTTATTAAGTTGGAGTACATCCCTTCTATACCTAATTTGTTGAGAATCTGTATGATGAAAGGATTTTTTTTATTTGGATTCTGAATTTCTGTTCAAAAGGTATTTTGTTAATAATACTGTTGTTAAATCAGTGTTTATGTGGAAGAAAGAGAGTTAGGACTTTCTACTCTGGCCATCTTGCTAACAGCCTGCATCATGTCTTTTAAATTTTTCAAAAATGGTCAGGTAAGTGTTACTACACTTATTTTCAAATGAGAAAACTGAGGCTTGACTCTCCTAACTAATATCACATACAGATGGAATTCAGACAGAGGTCTTCAAACATGTTTTAAGTACTAATCCACTGTGCTTGTACAGACATATAGGGGCATATATTCTATATCATGTAGCAAATAGTGAGCAGGAAACCTAGCAAGAAGCTTAATCAGAGGTTTTGAGTATCTGTAGCAAGGTGTCAGTGTTTGCATTGGGCCTGCCTGAAAGGATGATTGTATATAAGATAGCAAATTCAGTTCTCTGATTGACTGGGCATGTGTTCTGTGATGGGCTTGGCATACACCTTGAGAATCCTTCTGTTTAATGTTAAAAAAAAAAAAAAAAGATGTAAAGTAGACAAGCCAACTTTTGGGGGCAGCCCTGTACAGAAGAAGAATGGAGAAGCATCTGAGGACTTCCTTGCTGGTTTTGTGGCTTCATTTTTGTTGTCAATTACAGAAGAGTTTTAGCTAGTTTGACACAGGAAGTCCAGGGAACACTTTCTTAGGATTTTTAGCAACCATGTCTTGCATTGGGGTAGGCAAATCAAGAAAATGGGGTCATTTTATAGTTCATCTGGGATTCATTGTGGGGAGAGGGAAGGGATGCAAATTAGAAAGCATTAAGAATGCATAATCTATCTCTTGAATCTCACTTTGCATCTGCATAAGGATGAGTGGCAAAAACCAAGTGGAGCAGAGTCCTCTGTCCCTGATCATCGTGGAGGGAAAGAACTGCACATTTCAATGCAATTATACAGTGATCTCCTTTAACATCTTAAGGTGGTACAAACAGGACACTGGGAGAGGTCCTGTTTCCCTGATAACCATGACTTACAGTGAGAGTGAAAAATTGAATGGAAGGTATACAGCGACTCTGGATACAACCGTCAAGCACAGCTCCCTGCACATCACAGCCGCCCAGCTCAGCGATCCAGCCTTCAACATCTGTGCGATGGGCGCACTGTGCTCCCCAGGCACTTGCAGCCAGTATACAAACCTGTACCAGGAGATTGTGAAGAAGGCTTAGGAGGTAAAGTAGGAGCATTATTTTGTTACGTTGTATGTAATTTCACAAGTGAGCTAGTACAACTCTCTCAGACATGATTAAGTTTCAACTTGAGCTTATATGTCTATACAGTGTAAAGATATCCTCACTCAACACATAAAGTTAACTGCTACATCTGGCTTTTCCCAAGGACAAGACTGTCACATTGCATTACCGCTGCTGAGTAGATGATAATTTTTGTTGAAAGGGAGAGATCAGCTCTGTCTGGGGTCCAGTCAACAGTAGAATGTTGACTAAGTGGAAAAGCAACCAGCTGATGGGGTTGACTACATTATCTGATAAGTTTCCTTCCCTCTGAAAGATTTTTAGTCTCCGTTTAATCGTTATTCAAGTTCTCAGAAAGTATTCTGTAAGGAAAGATCTGCTCCACCACTTTATCTATGCTCCACATCAAGGCACCTTTCCAGATGTTGCATTAACTCTTTTATTGTCTCCCTCAAATGCTTCTTAGGAGAACATCACTGCTCAGTCTGTTATGCCAGCATGACACTGGCAGGCACAGTCACTCTAGACAGCAGGACATCTGTCCCAGTCTCTTCAACTATTGGCATTCTAGAAAAGAGTCTTAAGGGACAGAATGCCTACATGCTATGTGTAGTCCGAGATTGCACAAATTATCTGTGATGTTCTTTTTTGGCACAATTAGAGAAATTTAAGTATGGTTTGAGAATTAGATGAGATAAATATTTATTTGAAAGGCAGATATCAACTGAGAAAAACAGAAAGGAAATATACTAAGGTACTAAAAGTGATCATCTCTGGGGTGGTAGGAATATGATATTTTTATTTTTCTATCTTTCTTTTTATTTCTAATTTTCTATAGTCCATAGGCTATGCTTATGTCAAAACAAAGGTTATTAAAAAAAGAGTCAAGGGGACTTCTGGTTTCTCGTTCTGCCTCTAAGGAGCTTTGGAGTCACCACTCTCTCCTAACAATAAATAAAAAGCTAAACAGACTTAAAAATCAACAACTGTTCTTGGATCTGTAGAGGAGGAAGACACAGGACAAACTGCTGCCCCCAAGATTGGAGAGACAGACAGCAAAAACAGGGAGTTGCAGCTCTCTGGAGCAGAGACTCATGAGCAGAAACTGCAGCGGAACCAGTGCTGGAGAAGGAAAACCTGAGCTGTAACTGATGAATTACTGGAGGCTCCGTGTGGACGAGTCTGAGAGTTAAAAACTCCAGTGGACACAGTCAGAGGGGGACCCTACAATATTGTGAGATTTACCTCCAGGGGTTCAACCAGGTGCCCACAGCAACTATTAGAGACAAATCCCCTAATGTGTCTGGTAGGGGAGGGGGAGGAACTATTTTGAAATGCACCATAGCACCTGTTCTTAACAAGGCCTGCCCTTAGGGAAACTGGTTAACCAGCACCTAACCTGCTGGGGTATTATCAGAGCCAAATTGACTAGACAGGAGGGAAATATCCAGCTGTAGCTGGTTCTAGCCATCCTGTCCCTCCTGAGGGAGGAGGGAAAAAAAAAGAGACAAGCTTGTGAAGTTCACAGTTCAGAGGTACAGGCTCAGTGAAAGACTGACTTATTCATAGGACCATAGAACACTTCCACTTCCCCCATATCTCACCACCACATTACTATGGCTATTTCAGCAGCTCCTTTAATCCAGTAACAATGTCTGCCTATCAAGAAAAAAATTACAAGACATACCAAAAGTCAAAAAATATAATTTGAAGAGACAAAGCAATCATCAGCCAGACATGGCAGGGATGTTGGAATTATCAGATCAAGAGTTTAAAACAACTACTGCTAAGGGCCCTAATGGATAAAGTAGACAGCATGCAAGAACAGATGGGCAATGTCATCAGAGATAGGGAAATCCTAAGAAAGACCCAAAAAGAAATTCAGGAGATCAAAAACACTGTAACAGAAATGAAGAATGTTTTTCATGGGATTATAAGGAGACTGGAACCAGCTGAGGAAAGAATGTCCAAGCTTGAAGATATATCAATAGAAACCTCCAAAACTGAAAAACAAAGACAACACAGACTGAAAAAAACAGAACAGAATAAACAAGAATGTGGAACAACTACAAAAGTTGTAACATATGCTTAACTGGAATACCAGAAGAATAAGAAAGAGAGAAAGGAACAGAAGAAATATTTGAAACAATAATGACTGATTATTTCCCCAATTTAATGTCAGACACCAAACCACAGATCCAGGAAGCTCAGAGAACACAAAGGAGAATAAATTCCAAAAAAACTACACCTAGGCATAACAATTTAAAGCACAGAAAATCAAAGATAAGGAAAAAATCCTGAAAGAAGCCAGAGGGAAAAAACACCCTACCTATAGAGAAACAAAGATAAAAATTACATCTGATTTCTTTTAGAAACCATGCAAGCAAGAAGAGAGTGGAGTGAAATATTTAAAGTTTTGAGAGGAAAAAAAACAACAAAACACAAACCTGGAATTCTATACTATGTGAAATCATCCTTTAAAAGTGGAGGAGAAATAAAGACTTTCTCAGACACACAAAAATTGAGGGAATTTGTTGTCAATAGACCTACCTTGCAAGAGATATTAAAAGAAGTTCTTTAGAGAGAAGGAAAATAATATGTCAGAAACTGAGAATGACACAAAGTAAGGAAGAGCATCAAAGAAGGAATAAGTGAAAGCAAAATAAAAAAATATTTTTCTTATTCTTAATTGCTGTAACAGACACACATTGAATTTAGTCATTGTACATGTATTTATTAAATGCATAATAAGTGACAAAAACACAAATGCAAACACCAAAAGACCTTTCCTTATGAGGCTTGAATCTAGATTTGTCTATGTTGTTCACTCTTTTACAGGAATATACTGTTAAGTTTTTTTCCAATGTAGGCGTTTCCCTTGCTTGCTTTCAGTGACTGGCAGGTTTTGTATGGTGATTAAAGGCATAGACATTGAAGTCCTGCACTACTAAATGAAGTGACTTTGGACAAAGTCACTTAAACTTAGAGCACCTACATTTCATCATCTATAACAACATATAGCTCATCACATATTCATAAGGATTAAATTAAATTAATTGAATTAAATGATCGAATGGCATTAGTAGAAAATTTTTCAACTAATGATGGTTATTCTTGGATGTAGATGGGATGAGGCACTGAAGATAATTACAGAAAAAAAAAAAAAAAAGAAAATTTCAAGTATGGGTTAAGGCTTAAGTTGCCACTCTCCCACTACTGATTATGTTGTTTTGTTATGGTTATGACTGGGAGTCTCCTTTTATTCCACAGTGGCGTTATCCCATCCAATTATCTGGACAGACTGTTATGGCTTTCTTATTGGTTTCTTTATCTCATAAGTGTCATGCACAGAAAAATGACGATTTCTTGCTGCTGGTATATTTTAATGTAAACTCTAGAATGAATCCACACAAACTTTACAGAACAGGGCTCAGACATAAGATCATTATACTGAACTACAGTGTCAATAACTAGATTCCTACATAGAAGCTCATTTAGCAGGTTTCTGCATGGAGAACAGAGAAAAGAACCTCTCTAGGTTTTCCTTGGGGGAGGGATGCTTTTTAGTTATTCAATTTATAACTTGTACACAGTAGGTGCTCAAGATTTTATAGAAGAAAAAAGGAAAGAGAACAATCTAGGGGACAAACAACAGGTGTAGCTCTCCAACCAATCCGCATGTGGTCCTGACATGGTCCCCTTTCCATGTTACCTCTTCAGAGAGCAGGAGTAGTTGAGTGAATATGTGCACAGGGGAATGGATCTAATTTCTGGTTGGCTGAGGAGTCTCTCAGTGTCCTGTGACAACAGAAGTATGAATACTTTCTCAGATAAACTAGTTATTTGGCTTGGTAGTGTCTGAGGGCTCTCAGACTCCAGTCTGAGTCCTCCTGAGTCCAATGAAGAGAAAAATGGAGAAGTCCTTGGGAGTTTCATTCGTGATCATCTTTTGGCAGCTGTGCTGTGAGTTGGTGGGCTTTGGAGATATGAAGAAAAATAACGGATCCTAGTACCTTCTCAATAAATCTGACAGTTATAGAAGAGTGGCTGGAGCTACCATGCTCACCTGGGGGGATTGTAAAAAGGACATATATTCTTTCAAAAAAGAATCAGCATTAATAAATCTCCTTTGTCTGTGGTTCTCTGTTTAAACAGGGGTGAGCAGCGCATATATGTTGGAGCACAGTCCTCCATTCCTGAGTATACAGAGATAGCACGTCATTCTTAATTGTTCTTATCAAAAGAAAATGCTTTATAACTTCTATTGGTTCAGGCAGGATCCTGGGAAAGGACTTGTATCTTTGACTTTAATTCAATCAAGCGAGAAAGAGCAGGCAGACAAAAATTTGAAGGAACTGCTTTGAAAAGAGAAATTGTATAGTGTTTTGCGTATCCCAGCCTCTCATCCTGGTGATTCAGCCACCTACTTTCACGCTTTGCCCTACAGTGTTCTCCAAGCACCTGCCGTCTGTACCACAACCCTGCAGCTGGACCTCGTGACACAGGTCTAGCCTTGTGGGTGAGAGTGAAGGTATTTTCTTTATTTATGGAGAGAGTTTTCTTTATAGTCTCTGTCTCCAAACAGAAGTGAAAGAAAATATCTCCCTTATGTAATGATAGAGTCATACGATTCTAATCACAGAAGATAGAATCATGACTGACCCACAGTAGTCAGTCAAGAAATATCTATTGAATGAATGAATGAATGAATGAATGATGTTTGGCCCTCCTCACTCTCTCCCTTTCCCTTCTTCTCATTCCCACCCTAGTAGCTCTCAGCTTTGTGTATGTTCTCTTTGCTTGGTTATGTGGTGCAGTGCAGTTCTCTCTGGCCCTTCCTCTCAGACTCAGATCCCAGCCTTCCTTTGCTCAGTGGTCTCTGTCAAATAATTAGATCCACTCAGGGTCTCAGTCTGTCTTCACTCAACTGACCTCCCCTTATCAGGTGTAATCTGAATGAACTGTGCCAAGTGGAA